TAATACTAAACCTATAAATATATGCACATAGATCTATTTCCCCATCCTCATATATAAATATATTTACATATGTGCATTCCTGTATTTAGACCTCTATAAATGCCCTTTGCCTCCTAGCTCTTTCCTCTATTTCCTTTGACTTTCCTCTTGTCCCACTACCATGCTTAGCCTTCATTAGGGTTTCAGTAATTCCTCTTGGTTACATTACCCTTGATCATGCCCTACCAGGCCTCGTACACCAAGGGGGAGGTTCTTTTGGCCGCCAGTGGATGCTAGCCATCCAGGGAAGCACCTGCAGCTCGCAGCCTCTCCAGCACGGCTGTGTCAGGGCTGTGGGCTTCTTGCCAAGGAGCTCTGGTGGCAGAGCAGGTTACACGTTGAGCTGCTAATGCAATGCTGGCAATTCAAAACCACCAGCTGCTTTTGTAAGCCCGTAAGGGCTGTTCTAGCCTGCCCTACGGGGTCACTGTGGGAGGAAACCCACTGGAGGGCAGGGAGTGTGGTTTTGGACAAGCCCTACTTGCCTGGTCCCCTCCAGCCGTGTCCGGGGGAGGAGGAAGCAGCTGTCTAGAGAGGCAGACACAACTCAGGGATATCCCAAGAATACCAGGTGGAGGGGGCATGGCCTTTCCGATCTAGCCTGGCACGTCACATAGCTCCACTTCTACCATCCTCTGCTTGGGGGATGGAGCCATTTGCCGCCTGAGATTCAGGGGAGGGTGTAGACGCCTCTTCTCATTGGGAGGGATGTTGCAGCATTGGGGCCTTTCAAAAGCCACCACTTTCCTGCAGTCTTTGAAGTCCTTCAGTGCCATCCTAGTCCCTCCAGCTGGAGCTGGGAAAGGGCTGTGGGGTGTAGTGGGGGAACCCACCCAGGCATCCCCTTCCCAGGACACACTGCCTTCTATCCCCTCCTTCCTGGGCTTTTATTCTTCGACTCTGGGAAACTGGTTCACTGCATAAGCAGACTCCAGGGTTGAAAGAGGGTGGGAATCTAATCCTGAATGGCACCCTGGTGGCATAGTGGTTATGCACTGGACTGCTCACCACAAGGCCAGCAGTTTGAAGCCACCAGCTGTTTATCAGGAGAAAGAGGAGGCTTTCTGCTCCTGTCAAGAGTTAGGGTCTCAGAAACCCACGGGCAGTTCTACCCTGGCCTCTAGGGTCACTCTGAGTTGGCACAGGCTTGATAGCAGGGAGTGGGTTTATTGTGTTCCAGGGTGGGATACAGTTCAGAGCGCACCCCAGTATGTATTCCAGGTGGAGGTCATTTTTCCCCCTCTTCTCATCTCTGCAAGGAAGCGGTTTATTTCCATACCCCTTTCATGGATCAGAAAATGGGAATTTCAGAGTAATGCCTTACCCAAGGTCGTACAACGGTGACCAACCCATGGCTCACGCCCGTATCAGGTCTCTGGCCCCCAGGCAAACATGAGACAGAAGACACTCTTTCTTACACCCTCCCACAGCCGTCCTCCTCCCGTCCTCTCCTGGCCTGCTCGCTCAGCCAGGGCCCCTCCCCACCAGAACTTACCTCTTCCACGTCCTGCATCTGAGTCTCTAAGCCGGGTGTCCCCTCAGGAGAAAGCAGCTCCCACCGGGGTGCCACTGACTGAGGGTGAAGCCCCCTAACACCTTGGGACAGGCCCGTTCCAGGTGCAGCCGCAACATCTGTGGCGTTGCTCCCTTCAGCGCTGGACAGGCGCCGTGGCCCGCCCGTAGAGCACGGGTACACCCTCCAGTCTCTGCTTCCCTAAGTTCTGGGGTGACTTAGTACCTAGCAGCAGGTCGCGGCGGGCAACATGCGTTGTTTCCTTCAACCCATTTGCTGCCCCTGGTCACAGGCTAGGGCATTTCTGCTCTGAGGGAATGAGTAAGTTCCCCAGGCTCTCCCAGGAAGCGGGAGGCGGATCAGGCATTTGAACTTGGGAAGTCTGCCAAGACCCCTGGCACGCATTGCCGCCCCTCCTCCTTGGTGGGCCTGCGTGTCCCATCTGGCACAAGCTGGCATTTCCATCAGAAACACTGCAGGAGTGAATGACTTTGCAAGGAGTGGCATTTCCAGGGTGGGGAATTTGGACAGATTTGGGGGCCAGATTTGGAGTCGGGGTGAAGCGCCCCTTGCAGAACTCAAGGCAGCAGAGATTAAGTTGGGTGCCTAGAGCTTGCATAGAGCCTGTCCACGGTGAGTACTTAATAAATGTTTGTCCGAGGCGTGAAAATAAATAAGTCACACATTGCCGTGGGGTAGAATTCCAACTAGCAGCGATCTTGCCCTTTACAGAACAAGGCAGCACCGCCTCGCGTGTTTCTGAAGCTGTAACGCTCTCGGAAGCAGACTGCCCCATCCCGAGTCATCCTCGGTGTGGCTGGTGGGCGGGTTGGCCACCACGCACCAGGCTCCTTCATTCAATAAACTAATCCACAAATGAGGGCGTGGGAGAGTGGGCCGAGTTGAGAGCTGAGGAGAATGGGTTTCTGCCATCTGGTGGCTATTCCTGGAACAACACTTTCTACATGGCTGGTGGTTAGGTGCGGGCCCCATTGGATCCCTCTCAGAGCACTCCTGTGTACACCGGAGGGGAAGGAGGCTCCCGTGAGGCCCTTCCTTGGCTGTGTTAGAGATTGAGCAGCAGCATCCCAGACGGGAGTGGGTGGAGTGGGGCTGGGACCGCCCCTGAAAGCCAGACTTCTCCCCTTTTCCCCTATCTTTGCTCTTGGAAGGGGGGGGGCGGGCTGGCAAGAAGAGTCCCCTCCATCTGTCCCTCACAGGGCTGCTTTCAGTTACCAGTGACATCACACAGGTTTGGACGCATGGTGGCTCCAGACAGTTTTCAACCCCTGCTGTTTTGGAAGTCCGTCCCCAGACCTGTCTTCCCAGCCACCTCCCTGAGTGGACTAGAACTTCCGGCCAGGCTGGACCCATCTGACCACCCAGCCACAGCCAGCACGGACAGTTACTGGTGTTGACATTTGAGCTAACAAAGGATGTCAAGTCCTTAATTTCGTCTCCACCTTGGACTTAAAGCTTCAGGAAGTGCTGCCCTGCCAGGGGGGCAGGCCCCCCAGAACTTAGAACATGGCTTGTTCTCCGTCACCCTGCCCTCTGCCCAGCACCCTCACATGCCCCTGCCTCCCTACCACTCTTAGGTCCCAGTCCTGGCACCTTCCCAGTCCCCAGACCTTTGCTGGAGAAGGCCCTCAACATGCCCTACCCTCACCGAGTCCAAGGGAAGCCTCTTTCTGGCAGTGTGGCCAGGAATTTCCCTCCCACGGTCTCGTGAGAGGGAGCCAGGCACTGTCCTCACACCAGACCGCCCCTTCGCACATCTGACGAGGTTTGTGAAAACCTTAAATGGAGCCCTGGTGGGATAGTGGGTTACACGCTGGGCTGATAGCCACAAGGTCAGCAGTTTGAAACCACCGGCCGCTCTGAGGAAGAAAGAGGGGGCTTTCATCTCCTGTAAAGAGGGACAGCCTTGGAAACTCACAGGGCAGGTCTACCCTGTCCTGTAAGGTCGCTAGGGGTCGGAATGAACTCAATAGTAGCGAGTTAATAAGGCCCACTGCCAGGGTGTGCATGACATTGCTCCCTGCCCTGGAGTAGCCCCCAGCTCGTGGCAATGCGCAGTGACACGGGAGGGCCAGTCTGGACTGACGTGACCCAGGGGTTCTCGCGCTGACTCTCAGAAGTCCATCACCAGGCCTTTCTTCCTAGTCTTAGCACGAAGCTCCCCTGAAACCTGTTCAATCCCATTGCAGCACAGCAAGCCCTGGCCAGAGAAGCTGTTCGCCGATGGACGGCGGTGGCCGCACCCGAGATGCGCTGGCTGGGAGGTGGCCTGGTCTTCCACATGGGAGGCAGGCGTCCAGCCACTGAGCCACCCACCGCTGCCTCCTCTGTGTGCTGACACCAGGACTTGCGTCCTCAGAAAGCAAAAGCTTGTCCCCTTCCTGTCTTCCCCAGCACCTACAACGTGCCGACAGCACCCTGTCCTGTCCATCCCAACCATCTACCCCGAAGCTCCCCTTAGGAGCCTGGGCTTCCCCGTCCCCGCTCTTGAATCCCAGAGGCAGCTGAGAAAGGCAATGGGGGCTTGGTAAGAACAGACACTTTATTGTACACCACGGTGAGGGGGAGCGGAATGATGATGCCACCATGTCCCCTCCCTGGGCTGAGAAGCCGTGGCCCAGGGTAACCACCCTCGAGGGACACATGGGCTTGGATGGGTCTGGCAGCGCAGGGTGTGTGCTCAGGTCTGTACAAAGCAGCACGCGCGATGAGCAGGGATGCTGAGACCCCCCTCCTCAGCCCACTGCCAAAGAGCAGCAGACCCCACATTTCAGGGGGACACTCGGGGAGCAGGGTGCCCTCTAACGTGCCCATCGCTCCTCCACAGTGGGGAGGGTGGGCCTCACACCCTGTAATACTGCAGCCCTGTGCAGGGTCTGGGGGCCCCCAGCGGCTGGCCTCGCCTCACTGCCTCTGGTTGGTTCCTGGGGGGAGGCGGGGGGCTGCTTCTGTTGTGACAGTTTCGAGTGGAGGGCAGACGCTGTTGTAGCTTGGCATCAACTTGTGTGTGCCACCTGGGCCTCCCCTGGCCTCAGTGGAGGGTAGAGTGCCCCCTATTCAAGAAGCTGACCATGGGGACTGAGGGCGGGCAAGGGCCAACGGCCCCCATCTCCCTGACTCCCAGCCCCCGGGTCCTGCCCATTCTGCCTTCTTGTCTCCTAGTGGGCACTTCATCCACAGCGCTAAAGCCAGGGGTGGGTTCCTGCACAGGGGCAGGGCCCCTTCCTCTCCTCCAGGGAGTCTGGGGCTGGATCTCCCCTTATCAGGGGACCACCTGCCTGGGCCCCTCTGGCCTTGCCCCTGCTGGCTGCCAGCCCCTCGGGGAGGGCAGAGAGGTGTCCGGGCTAGTGGGGATGGGGCAGCTGCTCCCTTGGACAAACACTGGAGTAGAGGCACTGAGATGCCTTCCGGGGGCAGTCTCCCCCCTTACACTTCCTCCCGAAGAAGGCTTGCAACGCCAGTGGGAATGCCAAGAGGCCTGTGGAAAAACAAATCCGGGGGATGTTCCGCCCCCCAAGGCCCTCCTTTCCAGTTGCTGACAAACCCCACGGTGTGAAGGCAATGAGTCACCAGCCAGAAACTCGTGCCTGTCTTTGGCAGGGGCTTTCCCAGCCCCCACTGAGCCCTTGTCTGCAGGAGCTGGGCTGGGGGAGGCCGGGAGGGCTCAGGGCGCAGTGGACACTGGGGGTCATGGATCCACACCCGCCATGGGCGTGCGCGCCGGGCTTGGGCCCCCAGACGAACGTGCACAGCCAGGCATCCCTGCTACCAAGCCCCCGCCCTCAGCCCGGTCGCACGCTACAAAATTAAAAATATATCAAATGTACAATGAAAATAGATCTGTACAGCACTGAGGATGAAAATAGTCCACCAGCCACGGTATAATATTGGGTTTGTCATTTAACAGCATTTACACCCACATGTACAGATTGAATATACAATAGAAATAGGCTACGAAGGAGAGTAAGCCAAGTGGAGTCTCTCCTGGGGCGAATCCTGCCTGGGGCTGGGAAGTGTTGTCAGGCGAGGGGGCCTAGCATGGGGTGTTGCACCTCCCAGCTTGTCTCTCTAGGGAGATATGGGGCCACCCCTCGCCCCTCACACACCCAGAAACAGCAGAAGGGGGTGGGAGGGGCAGGAAGGGGGAGAAAGCACAGGGAGGGGTGAGTGTGGTGGTGGTGGTGGATGGAAAAGAGGCTGGGTATTGGGTAGACCAGGGGACCATAGGGTGAAGAGGGGGCCCTGGGCCTCGTTGACCCTCCCAGTAACCAAGGACCCTCCGTGGAGGTGGGTCTGCCCCCTGTGACCTATTCTTGCCTTGTCAACCACGGCTCTCAGATGGAGGCTTGGTGCCTCAACCAATCTCCCATGTCCCCTTACTCCGTCCATCCTTCCCTCTCTCCACTCGTCCATCCATCCATCCCCAGTGGGGCCTCTCCAGCCTGCAACTCTGAGGGCAGTCGATGAGGAAGGGCGGGATGATGCTGTGGGGTGCTCCTCCCTGCAGCAGCCCCCAGTCTACAGCACTCCGACTGATGCTCCCACCTGGCCCAGGGAGGCTCGGCCAAGGCTTCCAAGGGGTCTGTGCACATGGACTGCACACCAGGTAGCTGTAGCTGTGTCATGAGGAGGCGGGGTGGAGGCCCAAAGGGCAGTGACATTGTGGGGGGGCCCCGGTAGGGGAGAAGCTGCCACTAGAGAGAATATGTGGCCCCCGGTTAGGGGGTGGGAGGAAGTGTGCTTCACAATTGTGCTCGAACCAAACATTGTGCTCTGGAAACCTCTCAGTGCACTGTCCCCTCTTCTCACACCCACCGTGGGCGTCAGGCTGGCAGCCGGGGGCAGGAGGTGGTCATGCGCTAATGGACATGGGGAAAATGCTGGACTAGTCACTGGCCTCCTAGGCAGGAGGCAGGAGGCAGAAGCCCACTCAGACAGGGGCTGAGGGACCCCTCACCCCTGCTGGGCCAAGGCTTGTGCTGGCCAGAGGGCCCATTCTGCCCCAAAGAACAGAGCCCAGGCCCCTGGCCCCACCCCACCCCTCCCTGACTTACAGCCGGCACCCTTGGGGGGCAGGGCGGGGAGGGCTGCTTCCAGGGTACAGTCACCCCAACCCCTTCACCAGGAAGTCCAGGGGAAGCCCCAGGACCTGAGAACAGGAGGGGCAGAGAGAGGGCTACGGATCTTTCCTAACTGGGAGTCAGGACTGCTCCCATTACATGGCTACAGAGGGCTGGATGGGGTGGGGGCTGCCCTAGGGGGCAGAGGTGCTCCTAGCCTCCCAGAAGTCAGCTGGGGCTGGGTGAGGGTGTGGCAGGGCTGACCTGCTCTTCCTGGGCAGAGGGCTTGGGCAGAGTCTGGCGGCTGCCAAGAGGGAGAGACCAGGCCAGGCCAAGTGGGTGGGGTGGGTGGGGGTGGAGAGGCAGGCCAGGTGGGGACAGTGGTCACAGCTCTGATTCTGGGGTGCTGGCCAGGAGGTAGCCGCTCCCATAACGTCCGTTGGGGTTGCCGCTGGTGTCCAGGGGCGACGTGCTGCCGGGCCCCAGGTAGGAGCGGTGAGTGGGCATGGGGGAGGGTGCCTCACTGGGCACCTTGCTGAGGATGAAGCGGGTCTCATCATTCTCCTCCAGGTTGGACAGGTCCTTCATCATACGGCCCTTCTTGTAGGACACGGACAGGGTGTTGGAGCCGTCCGAGAGCAGGTGGAAATGCCGCAGGACGAACACCACAGGGATGGGCAGGGTGGCCACGACAATGAGGGTGACCAGGAGGGCCATGGCCCAGCCCGGGAAGGACAGGTAGCGCTCCGCAGCCTGCGGGGTGGGGGGGGTGGGGGGGGACACACATATGGGGGGAGGGCTGCTGCCAGTCCCCAGGGCAGCCTCTTCCCACCCGACCCCGCCATCCTACCAGCCAGGCACTGGCAGAGAGGTGGGGCATCAGGAGTTACTTCTTGAATGAGTGGCTTGTTCCCATGGTCAAGAACCTGAACCTCTCTGGACCTTAGTGTCTGTGCCCGTGGAACGGGTGCACAATTCTGCTCTACAGACACGGAGAAAGAACACGGAATCGAAAGGCCAAAGGTGGTGACCTTCCTGAGCCTCGGTTTCCCCATCTGAACTCCAGTAAAGCCTGTGAACGCCAGCACCTGCGTAAGGCTGAAAGCTGTCAGAGAAGGGAAGCCCAAAGACTTCCCACCACGTAGAGCGATAGTGGAGTCCTGGTGCGCAGTGCTGGGCTACCTACTGGGCTGCTAACCGTAAGGTCAGAGACTCAAAACTACCAGCCACTCTGAGGAAGGAAGAGAGGCTCTCTGCTCCCGTAGTTCGTCTGGGACACCCACAGGGGCGTTCTACCCTGTCCCATGGGGTCGCTGTGAGTCAGTACTGACTCCATGACCAAGAGAAATGAGGCGACCGACAGAGACTGGACCCCGTCACCGGCCACCACCTGGGAGAGCTGGAAGCCACCGGGAGTCCGGGCGAGTTCCGGCTCTCACAGGTTCCCCGTGTAACCACAGGCAGCGCCCGGCACACAGTAGGTGCCCTCCAAAGGTTTAGCCCTATGGCCAGTGGCAGCCGACCTGGGAAGATGAACTGCCCCCAGGGTTTGGGAGGTGGCTCACCTCTTCCTTGATCCAGGCGCTGTAGCCGGGCGGCGTGACCCCCAGCTGGATTATGCTGGCTGTGGTGAGCACGGCCATGCACAGTGGCGACACAAACTTCCACATGTAGAAATAGAAGCGGTAGGGCCGGAAGCCCAGCATCTCCGTCAGCTCCTGCATGAACCTGCCAGTAACAGTGGAGACCCAGCCGTCGGAGGCGGCAAAGCCCACCACGGAGCCTCCCTCCCTGGCAGCCACCTCTTCTCTGAAGCCTCGGCTGCCCAGGCCCAGCCTTCTGCTCTGTGTTTCCCCGGCCAGCCCTCCCTCGAGCCCCCTCCTAGGTCTGTAATAGATGTGCCCCCACCCGCAGCCCTGGCTGGCTGACATCACTGAAGAGCTTCTATTCGCCCAGAGGAAGTCCCTAGGTGCTGTAAACAGCTTAACGGCTTGGCTGATAAAGGAAAGATCTGAGGCTCAAGTCCACCCGGAAGTACCTTGAAAGAAAGGCCTGGCAATATACTAAAAAAAAAAAAATCCGACACCTGAAACGATGGACTTATACTCTGACCACACGGTGGGACGTCTAGGAGAACACGCCCTCCCCCCACTGAGCCTCTCCTGCCCAGCTCCACAGGGAAGGCATCTGCGGCCAGGCTGCCCTGCTGGGCAGGAGGGAGAAGTGCACCCCTAGCCTAGTCTCCAAAGGTAGCCGGGGTGTTTAAAACCAGGCCTTCCGACTCGTGCATTCCAGTTCTGAGAATTTCCATTTCCACCCTGGATACACTGAATTACAAGCTACACTTGGACACGAGGGGGATCTTGTTAGGCTTGTTTCAAAACACGGGGTCCGTGGAAGGAATTCCAGGAGGTGGGCAGGCTGGCATGTGACCCCTAACAGAAACCTAGCACCTCTCTCTATTATAAAGGTGAGCAGCAAACACTGTCCCTAGCAGGTGAAACCAGACATCTCCTATCACAGTGCACTTGCTGGCGGTGCCCTGAGATGTCACTTCTGCTCAGCACCCCTTTGGACTCACCGTTGTTACGAGACCCACTGCGAGAGTCCGGCACTCAAGCACGTATGGGATCGCACACATTCTGAACCAGGCTTGCTATTTTTCACAAGAACTACATCTGTTTTACTTCCTGTAATAGCTGGGGGAGCCCTGGTGGTGTCATGGTCCACAGTTCAAAACCAGCAGCCTCTCAGAGGGAGACAGACGGGGAGAGTAACTCTTCATGCTCTCAGAAAGAGTCGCAGTCTCACAGTCACTCAAGACAAATGGGTGCACAAGCAAATGTGGTGAAGACAGCTGATGGTGCCCGGCTATCAAAAGATATAGCATCTGGGGTCTTAAAGGCTTGAAG